AGGTACCGTTATATGGGGGCTATACCAAATCATGGACCCATACATGGAATGTTTCGCCACCGGAGCTGGAACCCATTATGACCAACAAATACCAATTTTTAGACAAATCCGTGAAAAAATGTGCCAAAAAAAATAAAATACCGAATATCGGGAGGTACCTTTATATGGGGGCAATACCAAAACGTGGACCTATACATGTTTTGTTTTGCCACACGTACAGGGACCCGTTATGACCTACAAATACCAATTTTCTGACAAATCCGCGAAAAAATGTGGCATAAATCATCAAAATACCAAATATCGGGAGGTACCGTTATATGGGGACTATACCAGAACGTGGACCGATATATCTCATTTTCAATACCAACCATCCTAGACACAATACAAATTGCTCTGCTAAATGTTGACGCTCTACGTCGGATAATGTGGGCTGTATCGTGATTTCAACAGACAGACGGACATCATTAAATCGTCTTAGAATTTTATGCTGATTATGAATATATATACTTTATGGGGTCTACGACGAATATTTAAGGATGTTACAAACGGAATGACAAAGGTAATATACCCTCCTTTCCAAGGTGGGGGGTATAAAAACGAAATTTTAAACAATTCCGGTAAAAAAATTACTTAAATCATCAAAATACCGAATATCAAATTTTGAATTACTGTTCCCCATAATAAGCAAACGATTTCCGACACACCTCTCCTTGGGGTCTACGTTAACCTAGATTGGACTACTGCATAGCTTGGAATACTACATTGTAACCCTCTTGTACACTCTTTGTCTAACTACGCAGAACTGACACACAACGCTAACGAAGGTTATACATCAGGATGGGTTAACAGTTATATGGCTGGACTTTCTTAGGCTGAAATATAGGTAACATTTTCTAGAATTTTCGATTGTATTCTCACGAAAAAATCACAACATCAATCGTAGATTTCTCATTAAAAGAGTTTGCATGAAACCTCTAAAAAAATAACAAACCATTTGGATAAATCACGAAAAAATATTAGATCTTCCTTAAATTATTTTGCTCATGCCCGAACATACATAAAGCATTTAAATACAATTTATACAGCGCAGAAAATCCCAATACAATATTCTGCTCAGTATATTTGCAAATATCCAATGTTTTTTTTTTTTTTTTTTTGAATAATATCCTTTTAATGCTATTACCATTGTCTGCTGCCATGAAATGAAATGTCCAAGAATTAAAATAATGTTGTAATCATATTTTCCATGACCAGACGAAAACTGTCCCTGTTATTGTTTTCTAATGTGAATTTATACAAAAATGGCGTGTTATGTCTCGGACGTGACTAACATATCGTTGGCAAAACAGCGTCCTCTAACGAGACGCTCCTTAAGGACACATGGTCAGCGGTGTCAAAAAGCGTATAATAAGAATTCTTAATATTCGCAAGAGGACATAATCTTAGCATGGTATCCGACATGATTTCAAAATTAAATTTTGCAAATCGTATTAAAATATACAATATGTGATAGTATTCCACCGAGACATGTTTTTTTTTTTTTTGTTACTGGAGATTTTGTCACAATAAAAAAAATTGTTAAACCATCAACTGCAAACTTAAGGGTTTCTTCCATAGACAATTTTAAAGACCCAAGCAAATAATAAAATTTTGGTTTGAGAAGTTCAAATTTTGTTTGAGACCTATATAATCATTTGCGGTTTTACTCCGCTGACTTAGTGCCAACCATCACCTGCACTTGGTAGTCTCTCCCTTGATAGAGCAGTACAGTGGCCTTCTCCTTCTCATCTGCACACAGCTTATTGTTATTCGTTAACACACATAAGAGGGACTAAGTTCCTCTCGAGAAGATATTTGTCCAAATTTGTTGTGATACTTGGTTGGTTCGTTGCACCAGCTTGCCTTGGATTTCTCCTGTAAGTGTAAAGATAATCTGATTTTGCTCCAACTTTACAAATCATAATATTTGCATCAGTCCTACATTAGGTGCGAAAATGGACAATATCGGTCCACTCCATTAAATACCTCCCCCAAAAGGGTTCAACATTTTGAATAATTATAGTTCTTATAAAATGTGATGTTGGAGTATAAAATCTGGGTCTTTAAGATCTGGTGCGAAGGTGTGATGTTAGAGTATAACATCTAGATCTTTAAGAACGGTCCACTCCTTCTGTTCTCGCCCCCACAAAGGGTCAAAATTTTGAAATTAAAGCCCGATTCACTTCAGACTTGGAACATCTCAATATTTCTATCAACACAAGATCCTTCTGGTACCTCCCCCACAAAGGGTCAAAGTTTTGAATAACCAAACGATTAAAAAATCCGAAATGAGCATCCAGTTTTCTTCATATTTCATGTATCCCATTATTTCTACTAACACAAGATCTGCTGTAAAGATGGGATGGGTCCACTACATCTGGTACATCCCCCTCAAAGGATCAACATTTTAAATATCCGTTAAGTTTATAAAACGCGACAATAACTTACGGTTCCATTCAGACTTGCTGAATCTCAATATAACCATCAACATAAAATCTCTTATAAAGATGGTAGAGATCGGATCATTTCTTCTGGTACCTCCCACACATAGAATTCAAGGTTTAAAAAAAAAACGACCAAAGCAAGCGAAATAACCCTCCAATTTTTTTCAAATTTCACGCATTGTTACCACAAAATCTGTTGTTAAGATGATATATATCTGCGAACCCCTTCTGGTACCTCACCCATAATGGGATATAATTTTCAACACTTTTATCTGCCATAACTTGCGAAACAAATCTATAAACACGAACTGATTGGAAGTGGCAATTTTTTCCCACAATATTAAACCAAAATCGTTGACGTTGATTGAGGAAAAAACTATGTTTTTATACCCTACAAGTTTGATTGGGTCAAAATTTATGTAACACCTCGAAATAGTGGTTTTCCATATAGGAAAGAATATATGGATCTTCCTAGCTCGCCGAGCTAAGTCGATCTAGCTATATATGTCCGTCTGTCCATGTTAATTTGTAATCACGCTACAGGTCGCAATTATGGCCCGATCCTAACGAAATTTATTTCTTTTGGAGATGATCGCCAAATGTTTAGGGGTTGAAATGGACCAAATACTAAAAAAATGTCGGATTTTGCAGTAGCTATACTGGTCGCAATTATAGACCAATCGACGCGGAATTTCGCGTGTAGCTAGAGTTTAGGGCGAGGAAGAAGCCTACCAATTTGTGAGGCCATCGGATAATATTTAGCGGGTAAAATAGACCATATCTTTTGTGTTGAAAAAATTCAAAATTTTTCATTAAACCGCGAATATTTTAAATCCCGGCAAATCACAAAGCCATGACAGGGTTACTTCTGATCTTTACATTGATGTTAACATCCAACAAATCGGATATATATCAAAATATGTGCTATATTTATTTCTATCAAAAAAATATATGCTTGAAAGATCTCTTATATGTCGAGAATGGCTGAACTGATTTCGACAGTTCTCATTAATTCAGAATGGCCTCTTGGCAGGAAAGAAACAACGTCTAAAAAATCGCATAAAAATATCTCTCTAAAGATGAAAATATTGATTTTGTAAAATTTTTTCATATTTTTTCAATTTTGTCACATTTTTGGCATATTTTCATTTTGAATTAAACATTTGGTAATATTTCTACAGCTAACAAAACTAAGTAGTTAGGATGTCAGGATATCACATACAGATCGCATTTATGGCCCGATCCTTACGAAATTTTGCATGGGGATCAGATGAGGGTCAGAATAGAAGCCTATTCTTTTTGGAGATGATCGCCATATATTTAGCAGGTCGTAATTATTGCCCGATCCTCACGCACATTTGAATGGGGGTTACCGGGCATTGCAAAAGCCAAGCAGTTTTGGATGGCCATCCAAAAATATTCAATGTGTGAAATAGTTTGCCAACTTTTGTAGACAAAATACGAAAATGACCATTCCAGAGACTTTTTGGAGAATTCACAAATACAGGAAAGACGCACTTCTGACTATTTCGTTAACGCTGATTTCGTTGAAGAATATAGTCAAATGTCTGCATCTCATATAGATGCGCGTCAGTCAAAAACCAATAATAAATGTTAATCTTTTGCCACTTCTGAGATATTAATGGTCTTTGGGAAATATTGGTTCCAGATCTAGGAAGACCATTTATGTGCAACATCTACCAATAAATTGGAAATGAGCAAATTAGTTAAAGTTGCTATTATTCGAAAATTAGAAAACGAAACCTGATGGTTCTCTTTTATTATTTGTCACAATATCTTGTGGAATTCTTTCGAGTATCTCGCCTATATAAACTGTATCGTTTATTATAGTGTTGTAGGGTATTCAACGGTCGGCCCCGCTCGACTGTAGCCTTTGCTTACTTGTTTTACAATATATTGATTAATCCAAGATCTGGCGTGAAGATAGAATAAATCGGTCCACTTTTTCTGTTACCTCCCCCACAAAGGGTCAAAATGTTGAATTCCCTTCGAAGCTAATAAAATATAGAATTAACATTCGATTCCATTCAGACTTCAATATTTCTATCAACACAAGATCTGTTATGAAGATATAGGAGATTGCACTATTCCTTCTGATACCTCACCCACAAAGGGTCAAAGTTTTGAATAAACAAAACGATTATAAAATCCGAAATAAGCATCCGCTTTTATTCATATTTCACACATCCCGTTATTTTTACTAACACTAAATCTGATGTGAAGATGAGATATAACGGTCCACCAAATTGTCAATATCCATGAAGCTCATAAAATGCGAAATTTACATCCGATTCCATTCAGATTTGACACATCTCAATAGTTCTATCAACGCAAGATCTGGTATGAAGATGGTACAGATCGGATCATTTCTTCTGGTACCTCCCCCACATAGAGTTCAAGGTTTTAAAAAGACGCCCAAAAGCCTTTGTAGATTAATTTATTTTTTCGTATTTAGTTGCTTACAACTTACTTATAACACATTTTTTCAAATAATAAATTAAAAATCCTAGACTTCTAATTTTGTTTAAAGCTTTCCTCTTCCGATTCATATCTCCATTAAATCAACTTTTCTTGTGATATTGAAGACAGTGCTGCCAAAATTTAGCTCTTGACGTTAATAGTTTATGGCAACGCGTGCACTTAAAAGCATTCGGGTCCAAGTGAACGAGTGCATGTTCTTCCATACGATAACGGAATTTAAATTTTCTACCACAGCATTCCGAATAGAATTCATCGTCGGGATGATTTGTCTGAAAATGTTGTCTCAGTTCATTGAAGGTTTTACAGGTTATGGAACACAGACGGCATGGTATGTTTGGCATCCATCTGGCAATGACTTCATCCACTTTTTTCGATATACATTTATTTATTCTGACGGGTCGATAAATATGATCGGAGATTTTAAATGTATCCTTTGGTATCTCCTCATTTTTAGCATCCTCTGTGGATGTAGGCGCTTCCGACTCATGTGATTTTGAAATCGAACCAATATCCCAACTTTCTTCACTATCCATGTCGCCATGGACGACTTCGTCCACATCCGTGATTTGTTCGTTACAAAAGGTTGGTGTTTTGGAATTGGGATTTTCAGGTATTATTTGGGGTTGTTTCTCCGATGCAATTGCATTCAAATTAGTTTCATCTGGGTTTTCACAGTCCGTAACTATTAACTGTATCTCATCGGAATGGCTGGATTCAACTTCACTTGTGTCTACAATATCTTGAAATTCATCTTCGTCTGGTATTGAAATGGTTTCAGGTTCACATTTCACTATTGGCATTATGTGTGAATGAACTGGGGAAAAAGTTTCGGTACCACTTGGGGCCGCCTTATTAAGATTAATGTGCAACAACAGAACAGTCTGTTGAAAATTATTAAAACCGGAGATATGATGCCAACATTCCGCACACAAGACAGCCAGTTGATTTGAAGCACCGGTTTCAACTTCTAAAAACTAAAAATTAATAAATGAAAATTATGAAACTTATTTGTATTTCTCGATATACGAGGCACATATATTTTCTGGCCATCTTACAAACTTACCATGGGCTGAAAATATTTTATAGTGATGGCATAGATTTCGTTTGCCTCACCATGGGCATCATAGAGACGTATGCTATCACAGCACGATACTCGGCATAAGCGACAGACATTCGAAGCTGCCATTGCATTCGGCTATTCTGTAATGACACAAAATATAATTATACATTTAATTTCAAAATTAATTTTAGGGAAATATACAACAAAAGAAAAATAAATAAAACAAGTAAAAAAGCAGATCAGTGCTGCCGAGCCGATCTTTTAAACCTCTCCTCTATCATGACGAAGATCAGCTTAATTTTTTTATCATAGGCTGTAGTACCGATTCCGAACTTCAAATACGAAATTTGAAACCATTCCGTTGAATAATGTCGCTAATATCATCAAATTTGAAAAAAATCGGTGCATAATGATCCTAATATCATCAAAACCCGAATAAAGGGAGGTTCCGTTATATGAGGGCTATACGAAGACGTGGACCAACATAGGTAATTTTTCGTCATATGTTATAGTATCTATTACAAGCATCAAACTTTAAGTATGAAATTTAATTCCGGTCAAAAATGTCGGGTTATATACGTGGACCTATATAGACATTTCTCTTCCAGGGGGCAATGTACTCACAAGGAACTCTTTTTGTGGGTTTTAAGACAATTCCGTTGAAAAATATGACCAATACCGAATATCAGGAGGTACCGTTATATCCCCCATATATCGTGAACCTATGAGACAATTCTTTTTCAGAGGGTAAAGTAGTCACGAAGAACTCCTTGTGTAGAATTTCAGACATTTCCATTGAAAAATGAGGCAAAAATTTTCACAATACCGAATACCGTTATATGGGGGCTATACGATATCGTGGACCGATATGGTCCATCTTCGAACTTTTCCTTTTACCCTTTTAGCTTTCTATATTTATTTGTTTTGACTCCAGAGTGATTACAACAGACGGACAGAGCTAAATAGTCTTAGAATTTTACGCTGATCAAGAATTGTTGGTTCTAGAATTATTATTTCGATGAACTACAAACGGAATGATGAACTTAATATACCCTCCATTCTATGTATGGTGGAGGGTATAAGAAATCAGTAAGTTCGGCTGGTCTAACCTTTTAATACCCTTCATCATATGGTAGGAATTTAAACATTTTCAAGAAAAAAGTAAGGAAAAATCAAAAGTCGGGCGGGGCCGACTATATGATACCCTACACCCCTATGCACATTTACTAGAGCTCCGTAACAAAAGAATTAATTTGAAGTAAATCATATCACCTATAAACATTTGGCTTTAGATCAGTTATAATTTGGTTTCAGAGGTAACTAATATGTGGGAGACATATCCAATTCGGAATCGATTTTAACTAAATTTGATGGAGATATTTTAATCTTTTATACCCAATAACATTGCTATAGAATGCATGACAAGGATTATATTAAACCTGTAAAGAAAGTCCTAAAGTCGGGCGGGACCGTCTTTTTGATACCCTACACCACTTTGCTAATTTAGTAGAGCTCCACATAACAATTAAAAGTTTTTATGGGAGAATTTGATCATACACGCCATGTTTATAATTATAATTTAAAGCCGAAGCATTTGTATCTTTTAAATTCGGACTTGTAATGCCCATTTGATATATATGGGAGCTATATCCAAATCTGAACCGATCTCGATAAAAATTAGGAAAGGTATTTCGGAGCTGTATTTGATAAATTTCCCCAAATATTGTTGTTTACAGAGTGCATATTACGGCTGCGGAGGACAAATACAATAAATCGGATGAACAGTATATATGGGAACTATAGCTATATCTGAACCGATCTTTACCAAATTTGACATACTGGCTTCTAGACTCAATTCGGTCGCATGTGCCAAATTCTATCCCATTTGGGCAAATATTAAAAGTTTGGTGCACAATAAAAAGTAAATCGGACGAAGTTATATATGGGAGCTATATCCAAATCTGAACCGATCTTGATAAAATTTATCAAATGTATTTCGGAGCAAATGTATTTGATATATTGCCCCAAATATTGTTGTTACAGAGTGCATATTATGGCTGCGGAGGACTAAACTAACAAATCGGATGAATCGGATAAAAATAACAAATGGATGAGCTATAGCTATATCTGAACCGATTTCAATCAAATTTGGCATACATATTTCCAGGCCTAATCTGGTTGTATGTGCAAAATTCCATACAATTCGGGCTGATATTACACGTTTGGTGCACAATAAAAGGCAAATCGGACTAAGATATATATGGGAGCTATATCTAAATTTGACCGATTATCTCAAATTTCAATAGGGTTCGTCCTTGGGCCAAACAAATGATTTGTGCAAAATTTCATCTGGATAGGGTAATAAATGCGAACTGTACTTTGTTGGACGGACGGACATGCATAAATCGACTTAGAATGTGATTCTATGCAGATAATCATCTATCTCGTTCCCTTTTGCCTGTTACAAACAAATGCACAAAGACATAATACCCTGACCACCTTGTGGGTATAAAAATATATATCAGAGCCTTGTTCCACAAAATGGAAAAAAACGACCTGAAATTCACTCCATTTTGGCTGATATTAGCCATTTTTCCACAATAAACCTGAAATCGGATTAAGGATATTTGGGAGCTATATCAAAATCTCGATAGCCGATCTCGATAAATTTTGGCAAATGTATTCCAGAGCTCTATAAGGTATCTGGTACCAAATATCATTGTTGTCGAATGCATATTATGAATGTGAGGAACTCAAACACCAAATCGAATGAAACATATATATGGGAGCATAGCTATATCTGAACAGATTTTCACCAAATTTGATGTACTTGCTTCTAAACTGAATTCGGTCGGATATGCCAAAATTCAGATCATTTGGACTTATATTGGCCATTTGGTGCACAATTAATCCGAAATCGGTTGAGGATATATGGGAGCTATATCTAAATCTGATTCGATTATCACCAATTTCAATAGGGTTCGTCCTTGGGCCAAACAAATATTGTTTGGCAAATTTCATCTCAATCGGATAATAAAAGCGATCTGCATTTTGTTCACAAGAATACACGGACGGACAGGCGGACTGACTCGGAAAGTGATTCTATGAAGACTCTCAAAAGTAACTATGGGTCCATCTCGCTTCCTTCTCCATGTTACGAACAAATGCACAAAGACATAAAACCCTTACCACTATATGGCGTACGGTATAAATAACGGTATCGGCAAAATTACAAGAAAATCGGACATTTCTATCCAATTTTATGTGAAATCATAACTTCCATATTCAGCTCAGGTTTCTGGTTGAGAGAAATATTTAGATATAGTAATGTTGCAAAGAATCGTTGACTTGTTTCGCCAGTTAGGTTTAAAAAAAAGATTAAATAGTATAGAAAATTGTGACCTTTTGTGGGTTAGGTACCAGAAATGGGTCGCAGATATCATCATCACAACAGATATTGTGTTAAAAAAAATGTTTGTATGTGTGACATTTGAAGAGAGTTGGATACCTTTTTCGATTTCTTTGACCGTTTTGTTTTTCAAAATCTTAAACCCTATGTGGGGGAGGTACTAGAAGAAATGGTTCGATCTCTACCATCTATATAACAGATCTTGTGTTGATGAAAATATTGAGATGTACCAAGTCTGAATGGAATCGGATGTCAATTTTGAGTTTTATGAGCTTCATGGATATTCAAAATGTTGACCCTTACTGGGGGTGGTACCAAAAGGAGTGGACCGATCTATCCCATCTTCACAGCAGATCTTGTTTTAGTAGAAATAATGGGATGTGTGAAATATAAAGAAAACCGGATGCTTATTTCAGATTTTATGATCTTTTTGGTTATTCAAAACTTTGAACCAGAAAAAATGGTCCGATCTCTACCATCTTTACAGCAGATCTTGTGTTGATGGAAATATTGGGATGCACCAATTCGGAATGGAATCGGATATTAAGTTGGCTTTTTATTAGCCTCATGTATATTAAACCTTTTTTGACCCTTAGTGGGGGAGGTACCAGATGGAGTGGACCGAAATATCCTATCTTCACAGCAGATGTTGTGTTAGGGGATATGTGTAATTTGAAGTCTGCATCACATTTAGTGGGGGAGGTACTTGATGGAGTGGATCCATATTGTCCATTTTCGCACCTGACCTAGCACTAAAGCAAATATTAGGATTTGCAAAGTGGGAGCAAAATCGGATCATCATTTCATGTGCAGTAAAAACTTTTGTTTTTTTTGAAAATTTCGACCTTTTGTGGGCCAGGTTCCAGAAGGAGTGGACCAATATTGCCCATCTCCCAACTTGATCTATGTTTAATAATAAAACAAGTAAAAAAAAACATTAAGTTCGGCCGGGCCAAACTTTTAATACCCTCCACCTTAGGGTAAAGGAAACATTAGGAGAAATGTGGCAAAAACCATTAAAATGCCGAATATCGGGAGGTACCGTTATATGGGGGCTATATCAAATCGTGAACCTACACATGCAAAGTTCCGCCAACGGAGCTAGAACCCATTATGACCTACAAATACCAATTTTCAGATGAATACGTGAAAAATATGTGGCAAAAATCATCAAATTACCGAATATCGAGAAGTACCGTTGTATGGCGGCTATACCAAAACGTGGACCTATACATACAATGTTTCGCCACACGAACTAGGACCCATTATGACCCACAAATACCAATTTTTAGACAAATCAGTGAAAAAATATGGCAAAAACCAACAAAATACCGAATATCGGGAGGTACCGTTATATGGGGGCTATACAAAATCATGGACCCATACATGCAATGTTTCGCCACCAGAGCTGGAACCCATTATGACCTACAAATACCAGTTTTTAGACAAATCCGTTAAAAAAATGTGGCAAAAATAATCAAAATATCGAATATCGGCAGGTACCATTATATGGAGCCTATACCAAAACGTGGACCTATACATGCAATGTTTTGCCACACGTACAGGGACCCGTTATGACCTACAAATACCAATTTTCAGACAAATCCGTGAAAAAATGTGGCATAAATCATCAAAATAGCGAATATCGGGAGGTACCGTTATATGGGGACTATACCAGAACGTGGACCGACATATCTCATTTTCAATACCAACCATCCTAGACACA